TTCTTAATATTTTCATATGTTTATTTTCCAAGGTTAGGTCTTAGAAAATTACAAAATAACGATTTGTAATTTCATGTTGTGAAAGGTGGAGGAAGGGAATTTCCTCTTCTTGCCCTTACTTGTATCTGAGCCGATTCTCCGTGTTCCTTTCAGTTATACTAGAACAAACGCCCCTCCTTCCTCCAAGCCAAGTCACCCCGTGCCCTCGCCACTGTGCTTGCCTTAAGTTTATACCTTGCCTGTAGTCATTCTCTCCTGCATCAATTCCATCAGCACAAAGACATATCTTAATTCCTTCTACCTTAAAAAAAAAAAAAAGAAAGCCCTCCCTCCCTTAGGGTGAGATGAAGTTGTGTGCAACAGGCCAATGCTGCTTTCAGAGGCGTTTGAACCAGAGGGACTCCATTTTGAATAGGGGCTGAGTAAAATAAGGCTGAGACCTACTGGGCTGCATTCCCATGGGCTTAGGCATTCTAAGTCACAGGATGAAACAGGAGGTAGGCGCAAGATACAGGTTGCAAAGACCTTGCTGATAAAATAGTTGCAGTAAAAAAGCCAGTCAAAACACGCCAAAACCAAGATGGTGACAAAAGTGACCTCTGGTCGTCCTCACTGCTCATTATACATGAATTATAATACATGAGCATGATAAAAGATACTTCTACCAGCACCGTAACAGTTTACAAATACCACGGACATGTCAGGAAGTTACCCTACATGTCTAAAAGGGGGAGGAGCCCTCAGTTCCAATTGTCCACCCCTTTCATGGAAAACTCATGAATAATCCACCCCTTGTTTAGCATATAATCAAGAAATAACCATGAAAATAGCCAACCAGCCTGCTCTGCCTACGGAGTGGCCACTTTATTATTTTACTTTCTTAATAATTAACTTGCTTTAGCTTTACCCGATGGCCTTGCCCCAAATTCTTGCATGAGGTCCAAGAACCATCTCTTGAGGTTTGGATTGGGAAAGTTTTAATCTATTAAAAAAAAGCATCAAATGGGCATTCCAGAACTAATAAACATAAGATTTGCACCAAGCAATCAATTGTTTGAGAGCAGATTGGATACAGCAGATGTCAGCATTAGTGAAATGGAAGATAAACCAATAGAAAACATCAAAATTGAAGCTCAGAGAAGGAAAAAGGAAACAAAACAGAACAAAGCATAGGAAGCATGGGCACAGTTTGAAGTGTCTGACAGTGTCTGACTGGAGTCACTGAAAGAGCAGGAAAGCAAGGGTGAGATAGGAATAGCTGAAGATATAATGGCTAAGACATTTTCTCAAATAATGGGTAAACTATTAGAGCTAAGTGAATTAATCTAGGTTTTGGATGTGGTGTCAATGTACACAAACCAGTTGCATTTTTTATAACAGCAACAGACATAATACAGAATTTAAAATAACATTTAAAATAGCATCAATCCAATAAGAGTTAATTTAATGAAATCAGAACAATTGAAGACAACCCATATTATGGAAGGACACACTATGCAATTGCTTTGGATTGTAAGGTTTAATATGGTGGGGATGTTAAATCTCTTTAAATAGACCTACAGATTCAGCACAATCCCAATCAATCTCAGCAGGCTTTTGGAGGCGGGGAGGATTAACAAGCTGATTTTAAAATTCATATGGACATGTAAAGAGAAGAGAATAGCTGTATTAGGGTTCTCCGGAGAAACGGAATCTGACTACATCAAGACCTATTTGAAAGCTGTAGTAATTAGCAATGTGGTGTCAACACAAGGAGAGACGAACAGACTAATGGAACAGAAAATGTTCAGAAACAGACTCATACAGAAATGTTCCCAGATTTATGACAGACGTGATAATACAGTACAGTAGAGAAAGGCTAGTTTTTAAAATAAATGGCATTAAGTTAACTGGATATCAACATGGAATATTAATCTAAATAAAACCTTTAGAAGAAAATAGTGTACATTTTCACCTCAGAATAAGCAAAACTTTCCTAAACCCCCATTCTTTAGTTCCATGATTGGGTTGAGTTTCTTTCACTACTTTGCAAGTCTGTTCTGCTCCCTGTCTGAAATAAGCAGAGCTGGAACTTGGACGTTCTCATTTTTATTATTATCTGTACACTCTCCATCCAGTCTTTCTCTAGTAGTCATGATCTTTGATTACTAAGCCACTCTATGGTTTTATCATTAGTTCAAACATTAAGTGCATACTTACGTCACTCCTTGTCTCAAACACTCATTGTTCTTCCTCAAAACCAGCTGCTGGGACTGGCGTGTTTGATCCTGACAATGGAGCATCAGCGCCACCCCCTGACCACCCCCCCGCCACCGTATTCTTATTCTTTATCATATTAGCCTGGGTAATCCTCATTATTCCTGATCTCCAGACACACCCTGAATTACCTCTCCTCCAGATCTACTCATGCTGCTTCCTCAGTGAGATAATTTTGCCAATTACATCTGTACCACACACCATCTAGGCTATCTGCCCTTGGCATCTTGCCTGCCCTGCCATTTTGGCCCAGTACCCAGGAGGAGCTGAACAGAAATGTGCAGAGGTATTAGTGACTCTTAGCAGCCTCCCAAGCCCCGCACAGTGTGCCCCCTTATTTGTGGTCTGGAATCCTCCCGGCAAGAGGCTGTCCAGCCGCCATATCCTGGGGGCTTGGGGCTTGTGAAGGACTCCCTCTGCTGGAGGAGGAGAGCATTGAGCCCAGGCATGAGTGCACTGTCAGTATCAGGCAATCCTGGGAGCAATTCCGGTGAGATCAAAGTGCTTCTCAAAGACGTTGGTGACATCTCTCCAGGAGAGTAAATCCTTCAGGTCACAGGTGCCAGAGATGGACAACTTGGCCAGAAAACATAGCCTTATCTCAGACACGACATGGACAAAGGCCAGCTGAAGGACCAGGGACCAAACTGTTCCCGCCTGCAGCTCTGGGGCTTTTTTCAATGCAGGTCCAAGGGATGAGGGGTGGGAGACCTGGCCAAAGAGGGTGATAGGTGAGACTGGTAGTTAGTACTTTCTGCCTCTGGAGACCTCTGCTTACCTTCTGACCACCCACTCATGGGGAGGTGTGCTCAGTCTCCGCCCTCAGACCCTACCACCATTTCCACAGTGGCCACTACGGATCTCCCTACTCAGGTTCCGCCTCTTTCATGAAATAAGCCAAATTAGAGCCAGGAACAGCGGGGTCCGAATCCCTCTGCTACCCACTTCGTTCAGGTTACTAAGCCACTCAAGCCTCTGATACTTCCTCCATGAAATGGGGGTGACAGTTTATGGAGTTGTTGGGAGGTGTCAATGAGATACCCTATGAAAAATGCCTGACATGGCATAGGGGCTCCCCACATATTAAGCAATCTTTACCACCAGCCCACTGACAGCCACACCCGTGCCCATTAGGGAGCGAGGCTGAGAATACCAATATGTATATATTTGCAATAGGAAGTGAAAGAAACAGTAGTTGCAAGGGTAGGACTGATGGAGTCTGCCTGGGAGAGGGAACAAGTCTGAGAACACGACTTGACCAGCGTATTTCAAGTATTCGCTATGTGTCAGGGTTTAACACTTTACTCACAGCCTCATCTGATCCTCAGTGGAGTCCCACAGGGTAGGTACTTATAGCAAACAGGCTTCAGGGGGCCCAGGAGACCAGGGTTCTCCATGATCCCTGCTTCCTGGTATTCATAACCTTGAGTAAGAGTAGGACCTACCTCTCACCAACAGAATATGGCAAAGGTGATACACGTATGTGATTCCATGTATGGATCACATTATATGAGAGTGGGATGTCCCTTGTCTTCCTGGCCCACTGCATTCCCACCCCAAGTGTTGGTTCCTTGGAAAGCACTGGGGAAGGAGGTGGAATTGTTACGAAAACAAGGCTCAGACTTCCACAGAAGCTGCCCAGTGAGTTCTTCAAAAGTGGTTATCCTACCTGCCACTTACGCTGGATCAGGACTGCCCAGAGCTCATTTTCACATCTCCCCAGGGGAATGCCATCATCTCAACACTAATTTTCACTTGAACTACAAGAATCATGCTTGTGGTTTTCAAAAGGAAAAGGCTCCTATTCATGGTGCATTTAGAAGCAGCCCAGGGTGCTTATAGAAGGGACCTGCTTCTTGCTATGTTCTTGAGCTTCTGTGGCCTCTTGACAAAGTGGAACCAATAAGGCAACCAGGCCAAGTGAGCACTCTGGGCCTCACGGCCAAGGATGGGCTGGCAAGGTGGCCTCGTGCCCTCCCATAGCCTTGTTTTTGTCGGCTTTATCTGATCCTGATCTCAGATGCTGATAATGCACTGGCTTATTTTGTAAGGAGAAGGAGCTTGATTTGTGCAGGATGCGCCTTCACCAGATATCTCCAGGGGCAAGAATCCACGGAGTTTACAGCGCTGGACCGCCTCTAAGCTTTAGCTCAAAGAAGAGTCCCTGACACCGAGTCTTGTTAAAGGAATGACCACAGGGGTGGGAGAGACCAGGGTCGTGCATGCCAGCTCAGGATCTGGGGCAGGGCGGTTGGCAGGGGGATTGCCAGGAGCAAAGGAGGGGAATTACCTGCTAGAAAATTGGGCAGGGGTGCTCAGAGAGGAGGCTGCCGAGGAACTAGGACCAGTGGAAAGGAGGTGGAATCGATCTTAGAAGCCAAATTCCTTGCAGAAGCCTGGAGTGAAGCCTGGGCAGCTCTATCCCTGCGAGCCACATTTTGCCCCCAGCAGCTCACAGTCCAGGCTCTGCCCCTCCAGGAGACCCAGTTCTTTGACCTCGCCCCTGCCTAGCCCCTGCTGCGGGTTGCTTGTTTTCCCCCTCCTCCCCCTCCTCCCCCTCCTCCTCCTCCTCCTCCTCCTCCTCCTCCCTCCTCCCCTCTCCTCCCCGCACTGATCCTGCCCCCACTGCCGGCCCTGCCCACAACCGGCCCCACCCACGCCGGAGCTGCTCCTCTTAAGGAGGTTGCGCACCTGGAAAAGGTCCACATGTGCGCCTTGAGGCCAGCCCCGGGTGCGGACTTGCTATGGCCGAAGCTTGTCTGCATCCAGGGGAGCCCCCCGCCCGTCTGTGGATCCAAAGGCCTGGCATCTATGAGGACGAGTCGGGGAGGAACTGGGTGACCGTAGTCGTGAAGTTCAGTCCATCGCAAAGAGAATGGGCCAGGCTCTCAAGCTCCCAGGGCAGCGCCTCCCAGAGCAGCACAGTGAGTCCTGGTCCTGAAGGGAGGCTGTGGGAGGGCTGCGCACTGACCCTGCCAGTGCAGGGATCAGAGAGGACCATTATCACCCACGCTGGAAAACTCACTTCTGTGCAGGTCTAGGAGCACAGCAATGTCCATACCCAGTCCTGGCCCCAGGAACCCGCCTCTCCCCCCCCCTGCCCCCACGCAATAAAGGGACCACAGGCACAAGCTTATCCAGGTGAAATAATGTGGTTCTGCGGGGTGAAGCTGAGGCTAAGGTAGCTCAGGGCTTAGTGCCATTCTCAGTGCATGCTGCGAAGATTCACAAATGGGGCAGCACTTGAGTTGGGGTTTGTGGGATGAGTAGGAGTTCTCCAGGTCCGGAAAGGAGGCAGGGGTAGTATATGCAAAAGCATTGCAAATTGGAGGCAGCAGGTGGGCCAGTAGGATGAATGCGACATTGGTTTCAGATTCCTAATCTGCAAAATGAGAGTATGTCTGTGGCAAGCCAGTGACAGACGTGGCTCATGGCCTGGGGAAGCCTTTGACAGATAACAGATCCTGGAATCGCCTCTGGAAATTAATTCGGGAGACTTGGGTGAAGTCCTGGATTCTTTACTTTAAAAAAGCTCTCCAGGTGATAATGAAAATGACTCAGGAAACAGCTGAAGATGAGGGTTTTAGATCACAGCTGGTCTTTGGGGGATAAACTAAATACAGTGTTTATCTCCGGTGTGTGAGGGAGATTGATTCCAGGAACATCTGTGGATGCTCGAGTCCCTGATGGAAAATGGCCCGGGTGGTAATTACGTGTAACCTCAGCACATCCTCTCCTATATTTCAAATTAGATTACTAATAACACCTAATGCAATGCCTACACATCACTTCAAGTTCTGCCTCTTGAAGTTGGTGGAATTTCTTTTCTCCCCCAAAGTATTTTTAATCTGAGGTTGGTTGGATTCATGGGTGCAGTACCCACGGAAATGAGGAGCTGATTGTGCCTTAGTGTACTATAGTAAAAGCTTATACGGATATTTAAAATAACATTTAGGTCATCATAAACAATTTACTGCCTTTGTTGTTGTTGTTGATTTGTTCGTTTGTTTGAGACGAAGTCTTGCTTCATTGCCCGGGCAAAAGTGCAGTGGCGTGATCTCTGCTCACTGCAACCTCCGCCTTCCAGGCTCAAGCAATTCTCATCCCTCAGCCTCCTGGGTAGCTGGGATTACAGGTGTGCACCACCACACTCAGCTAATTTTTTTGTTTTTAGTAGAAACAAGGAATAATCATGTCGGCCAGGCTGATTTCGAATTCCTGACCTCAAATGATCTGCCCGCCTCGGCCTCCCAAAGTGCTAGGATTACAGGAGTGAGCCACCGCACCCAGCCAATTCACTGACATTTGAAACAATATAACACATTTCCTAAGAAGTCTTCAAATAGGTTGTTTCAAAAAATATCCTTACAGAACATGGAAAGGCTTTTCTGTACCTACACTAAATAAAGGATGCAAAAATTCTGGAGCAAATATTTTAAGTTTTTAAAAAGCCTGAAAAAGAGGTAATGGAGGGAAATGTAAAACGGTACAGCCACTACGGAAGTCAGCATGAGGCTTCCTAAAAAAAAATGAATTATTGCACAATCCAGCAATACCACTTCTGGGCATATACACAAAAGAATTTGAAGCAGGACCTTAAACATGTATTCATACACCCACGTTCACAGCCGTAACGTTCATGCTAGCCAACAGGTGGAGGCAGCTAAGTGTCCATTGATAGATGAATGGGTAAACAAAACACAAACCGTCAAGTATTCATACTTAAAAAGGAAAGCCCGACACATGGATGGAACATGGAGACATTATACTAAATGAAACGTGCCAGTCACAGGACAGATTCTCTTGTATGAAGTACTCAGAGTGGTCTAGTTCATAGATAAAGCAGAATGGTGGCTGCCAGGGGCTGGAGGGAGTGAGGGATGGGGAGTTAATGTTAATGACAGGTATGGAGTCTCAGTTTGGCAGGGTAAAAAGTTCTGGAGTTGGATAGTGCTGATGCTTGCACATGTGAATGCACTTACTGCCACTGAACTGTACTCTTAAAAAAATTTTTTTTTTCAATGATTCGACTGAGTTCGGTGGCTCATGCCTGTCATCCCAGCACTTTGGGAGGCTGAGGCAGGCAGATCATGAGGTTAGGGGTTCGAGATCAGCCTGACCAACATGGTGAAACCCTGTACTTAAAAAATACAAAAGTTAGCTGGGCATGGTGGCACATGCCTGTAATCCCAGTTATTCAGGGGGCTGAGGACCTGGGAGGCAGAGGCTGCAGTGAGCTGCCATCGCACCACTGCACTCCAGCCTGGGCAACAGGGTGAGACTCTGTCTAAAAAAAAAAAAAAAAAGATTCAGTGGAAATAGAATGGATTCTTCAAATAACTTAGCCATGGGTGGGATTAAGGGAGCTACATAGTATTTTTTTCCCTCTTTCTTAAAAGTAGATAAACATCTCAGGGTGGAAAATTATGCTTCCTGGGCACCTCTAATGCAAAGATCAGCCGACTTTTTCTGTGAAGGGTCTGACGGTCACACTTTCCACTTTGAGAGCTATCCTCTTGCAACTACTCAGCTCTGCTATTGCAGTACAAAAGCAGCTAAAGGCAATGGTAAAGGGCTGAGGGAAGGGCCTTAGTATAGTCACAATAAAGGTTTATTTGCAAAAGCAGATGGCAAGCTAGACTTAGTTTTCTGATCTCTGATCTAAAGTCAGAATCCAAAGAGACGGAGAAATTTTGCCGTATAATTTAAAATATTTTTCTTTGCAAAAGCAGTCTATAAAAAAGGGCAGCAAACTGAGAAAAATTATTCACAACATGTCTGATTGATAAAGCGCTAATATTCTTAATTCAAAAAGATGTTTTATCACTGAAGACAAATACTTAGAAAATTGTATAAAAGACTTTCCATTTTGTTGCGTAACGTAGGAAGCTTTGGTTTTCCTTTTCCTTTCACCTTTCTAACTTCCAGTATCGGCCTAATTTTGTTATTTTTAATTATCTATTTTTTTTTAGATGGAGTCCCTGTCACCCAGGCTGGAGTGCAGTGGTGCGATCTTCCCTTACTGCAACCTCTGCCTCCTGGGTTCAAGCGATTCTCCTGCCTCAGCCTCCCAAGTAGCTGGGACTACAGGCGCGCACCACCACGCCCAGCTAATTTTTGTATTTTTAGTAGAGATGGGGTTTTACCATGTTGGCCAGGATGGTCTCAATCTCTTGACATTGTGATCCTCCCGCCTTGGCCTCCCAAAGTACTGGGATTCCAGACGTGAGCCATCGCACCTGGCGTACTATTAATTTATTTTGAGACAAGGTCTCGCTCTGTCTTCCAGGCTGAAGCGCAGTGTTGTGATCATAGTTCACAACAGCTCTACCTTCCAGGTTCAAGAGATCATCCCACCTTAGCTTCCCGGAAGCTGGGACTATAGGCACATGTCACCATGCTCAGCTAATTTTTTATTTTTTTGTAGAGACAGTTTCATTCTGTTGCTGGGGCTGTTCTTGAACTCCTGGCTTCAAGCAGCCCTCCTGCCTCGGTCTCCCAAAGTGTTGGGATTACAGGCATAAGCCACTGCACCTGGCCTTATTTTGTATATTTACTATAAGTATGTGAAGGTCATGATCAGAGCTGCAGTATATTTTGGGGGGGAAATTATCACCCTCGGATTCGGGAGTCCATGGATATCTTGTTTTTAAAAAGGAGATTTAAAAAATTACGCAGTGGTGGAGATGGAGCCCCAGGAGAATGCTCAGCTTTAACCTAAGGTTGTTGACAGGTTGGCAACAGTGGCTAAATTTGGGGGTTGGAGTGAGGTGAGGCGGGGTGCAGGTCAGAGGGGGCCAGAAGAGCCCCAGCCATCCTAGATGAAGCCACAGGCACCAGTGCCAAGGCTCTGGGTCTGGAATTCTGAAAACATTGACCTCTGACCCTGGCAGCCCCCTGGCCGGGCTGGGGCATCTAGGCCTGCCATGTTTGTGTGCAGCCTCGTTGGCAGGGAACCCTATCCCTGATCTGTGGCCTCTTCTCTGGTCCCTTCAGTATGAACCCAGCATCACAGTGCACTTGTGGCAGATGGCAGTGCACCGCCAGGATCCGCTGTCCCCCAGCCAGATGCCCTTCTCCCGGCTGCCCCCCGTGTGGCAGCTCTACCCCGGGAACAAGTACCGAGCATCGGATTCCAGTTTCTGGGAAATAGTGAACCACGGCCAGGCAAGTGTGTGGTGGTTCCAGGGGGAGAGCGACAGGTGGTGCCCTGGTGACTGCCATGGCCCTCCCTCTTCTGCACCCCGGCCCCCTCAGGGTTCTTGTCTCTCCTCTTCCTTCCAGCAGGCTTGAGTGTGTGAGGGTGCGTCGGTGCACGAGTTCCCATGTGGGACGAGGGTAGGGTGGGTGAGGGAGGGAGGGTTGCCTTCCCTGAGCTAGAGACATCCGCAAGCCAGAGTTCCCACCTGCCTCTCGCTGCTGCCAACCTGCATGGGCGGCTGTCAAGGCCGGCTGGAACAGCATCTCCCACGGGTTCTGATGGCTGCTCCTTTCCTGCAGATCGACTCCATCGAGCAGCTGGTCCTAACATATGAACCAGAGAGGAATCACTGACGTTGGGAGCGGCTGGTATGTTGGGTCCCTGTGCCTCTCAGTGCAGGGATCAGACAAAAGCGAGACCTCTCCTCTTTCGAAAGACGGCGTGGTCTCCTCCTCCCTGCTGTTTCCTGAGTTTTTCTTACATAGCCGCCTGTCACCTCTGCTCCCCCAGCCCCTTGGATGTGATTGGCCACCATGGGTGGGCCCTCATCATAAGTTCCTAAAGCATGGGATCTTATCGAATACGACTCATCGTTTAATCCTTGTGAGAATTCTGTGAGGTGTACATGTTAATGTCCCATTTCACAGATGAGAAGGCTGAGACTCTGGGGTTGAGAATGATTCCCTCAAGACCGTAGAGCCAGGAAATAGCAGTGTTCCGGCTCACATTTAGTGATCTCAGATCCCTAGATTTAAGCATGGCACTGAGGTGGCCTCGGAGGCCACCTAGATTTAAGCATGGCCATGTGATGGTGGCCTCGGAGGACCCAGCACTGACCCACAGAGGGCTCCTCTCAGATGGGCAGCAGCTGGAGCAAGCCAGGCAGGGCCTGGTCCATTGGAGGGGCTGGCACTGGCCTTGCCTTTGACCCCAGCAGCTTGGGGTGCCAGGCTCCGCCGTAGTTCACTGACTGTCTCCTTTGGTCTTCTCCCAGGCCCTGCTGGCCCTGCGTCCTCTGGCCTGGTATCTCCCTGGGCCCCTCAGTGAGGATCTTCATGTACCTGCTCACCATTTGCACACTCAGCATGGCCTCTTTGCAGGCAGGAGGCAGCGGGGTCCTGCACACTCAGCTTCCCTCATTTTCCTCAGTTGTCAGCCCCGTTCTGTCCCACTCCAATCTGCACTTAGGGCAGCTGGCCTGGATGGGCTTTACTAGGGGCCCCGTCTGTGTGCTGAGCCCGTTTCCCTTGCTGGCTGCAAGCCGTGGGTTCTCTTTCCCCTCTGTGCCCCTCGTGCTGATCTTCTAGAGGCCGCTCCCCAATCTCCTCCACTCCACACCCACCGGATGTGTGCCCAGCCAGGCCTCTGGCACCGCCATGGCAGCCCACGATTGGAAACCCACTGTCAGCAGGCAGGAACTTGGTTTAAGAGATGCCACAGAGGAAGCCTGGTTTTGATGTGGACTCGGATGCCCTGTGGGTATCAGTCCTGCTGACACTTTGGCCCGAAATAGATCCAGTGCTGAGTAAGCAATGTACGCCGGAGCCTCAGTGAGTCCATCTGCACAGTGGGGAGCATGGAGGGATGGGTTTGGCCTTTACTTCTGCTTGTTCAGTCCTTCAGCTCGCAGAAGGGATGCTAGTCCATGAAGGTGACCTCCCAGAACGGGTTAATTAAACTTTATCACTCACTGTCCGCTTTTGTGCTGAATTGGAGCCTCTCTTTGACCTCTTTCTAGCATAAAAATGCAGCTGCTGGCACCGAAATGTTAAGGTAACATTTTAACGATCCGTTTCATGTTTTTCCACACTGGGAAGGAAATTGTGATTGGTCCATTCAGCAGCAGGACGCTGGTGGGAGGTAAGGAAGGGGAGGAGGCTTATGCGAGCTCTGGGCGAAGCCTTGATGTAAAAGGGCAGGAAAGCCCGTGGTGGTCACGGGAGAACTGGGAGCAAGGGAGAGCTTCCAAAGTGAGACGGTGAACAGCATGTCGGTGCGGGAGATGCAGTGATGCGGGCACAAGGGAGAAGGGTCCATGTGCGGGACGGAAGACGTGACAAAGGAGCAGAGTCCTTGAGCAGAGAGGGATGGGGCAGGGGCCAGGGCACTGAGCAGTGCCGCCACTGTGACCAGGAAGAAGAGAACGACACAGTGCAGGTCAGGGTGGCCGTGCAGTGGCGGCAAGGAGAGGGGATTTTCCCCCTCCATTTACAAGAAGAAATGACCCATGGGCTGAGGTCCCCACCTTACAAAATGAATCTGTGAAAGTATTCACAGAAAGTTAGGGGAAATGTGTTCGTGAACGTGGGGCACAAGAAAGCAAATAAGACACAGCGGTAAGCAAAAGACAGTGTAAGACAGACTTTTTCCAGTGAAGCATTTCTGTATGACAAAATATTAGGACTGCAGCAGTGCCCCCTTGTCTGCAGAGGACGTGTCCCGGGACCCCCAACGCAGGCCTGAAACCTCTGATCGAACCAGTCTGTGAGCCCTGTGTCAATCAGTCACCGCCTCCTCAAACTGTACCTTGAAACTCATGCATTCTCCACCAACTGTCCTTTCTACTTGGAGATCCCTTCCTGCATAGAAGAAGCTGTTTGTCTTTCTCGTCTACCTATTAAACCTCTGCTCTTAAACTCCTCATGTGTGTCCTGTCCTGTTTTCCCGGCAAGACAATGAGCCCCAGGGTATATACCAGAGACAAAGTAGCCGCTTCAGTAGTGGGCTCTTTCACATTGCCTGGGCCCCAGCGGCTCTGGCCCAGTCTGCTTTTGCTGAAGTTTCTGTAACATTGTGACACGATAAGACATACAGATTTGGTTTCCATCCCCAGGTCCTGGCATAGAGCTCCTGAAACCTTTCCAAGTGATAGGAGTGAGGAGCATCTTTTGTTATTCATAATGAACCCCTTTCAACCTACCATGTGATTGCAGGGTTGGAACTTTTAGTCCCACCCTCCTGACCTCCAGGAAATAGAAAAATAACAACAGTGTTTCCAAACATTGGGAAGGGGAGGAGAGAGAGGATGGAAGTAAAGTACATAGGTTTTCCCATGGAAGGAAGTTCAGAAAATACAGTTGAAAGATCAAGTAACAGGGCTGGGAACATATTATTTAAAAGGAAAACCAGAAGAAATAAGACTCATAAGAAAACCAAAGACGGATGGGAGGAGAGAGGAAGCACAAGGGTGCGATTTCCTCATCCTTCACGGGACAGTTGGGAGAGATCATAGAATAAATAATAAACAGAACAGCCATATAAAATTCTAAAGGGCCTGGCGTGGTGGCTCACGCCTGTAATCCCAGCACTTTGGAAGACCAAGGTGGGTGGATCATTGGAGGTCAGGAGTTTGAGACCAGCCTGGCCCACATGGTGAAGCCGTCTTTACTAAAAATACAAAAATTAGCCAGGAGGTAGTAGCTTTAATCTAGCTACTCAGGAGGCTGAGACAGGAGAATCACCTGAGCCTGGGAGGTGGAAATTGCAGTAAGCCGAGATCACACCACTACCCTGTCTCAAAAAAATAAAAAATAGAAGCTCTAAGATGTGAGAAAAGTTGAGAAGAATCTGAACAAGGAGAGCTGTGAGGGTGGAGTAGGGTTAGCAGAGATCAGCAAGCAATGAAGAGCTGCAGGAACTAATTCCGGCAGTGGTCAGGCAGATGCAGGCATCAGAGCAGTGGAACGGAATGGGGGTGAGGGGACAGCTGAAAACGCAAGTGGGGATTTAGTACATGAGTGAAGGCTGGTAGAACATGGCACTTTGGCATAATTATTATTTTGTGCTAATGGCCCTTGATAAACAACAGATGCACAAAGGGTACTCTGACATCTCCTTTTTCTCCCTGAAAGTGAGAGAAACCCAAATGTGGAAGATGTCCTCCCTCTGATGAAAGTAACACTCATCGCCAGGGCTGGCAGTTGAGGCCGAGAGAATTCTGTACACACTAACCTCATAAATGAACCTTTCTCCTTTAACCACAAGGAACCCCCCTAGCCTAAGGCCCCTTGCCTTTTCACATTTTCACAATGTACTACTCTTTGTCCAAATAATAGTGTTTAACTGTTTCTTTGGGTCTTCATTTCCTTATAAGGGCTCCTGTGTCACATAAAAGTTATATTAAATCAACATGCTTTTCTCCTATTAATCTGTGTTATGTCAATTCTCTAGCCCAGCCAAAAATGTTAAGAGGGTAAGAGGTCAAATTTTGCCTTCCTTACACAATCAAGGTGGCATTTGAAAGCACTACCAAAGGATACGTTAGTCACTAAACATTGTAGTATGGTGACAACTGGCTAGCCATTTGCATAAGAAAGTTGGATCACTACTTCATTTCTCATATGAGAGTAAATTCCAGATAGATTAATGGATAGACAAAAACATGAAGAAAATTTGTTATTGTGGAGCAGAGAAGCCCTTATTAAGAAAAACCTAGGCCGGGCGCGGTGGCTCAAGCCTGTAATCCCAGCACTTTGGGAGGCCGAGGCGGGTGGATCACGAGGTCAAGAGATCGAGACCATCCTGGTCAACATGGTGAAACCCCGTCTCTACTAAAAATACAAAAAATTAGCTGGGCATGGTGGTGTGTGCCTGTAATCCCAGCTACTCAGGAGGCTGAGGCAGGAGAATTGCCTGAACCCGGGAGGTGGAGGTTGCGGTGAGCCGAGATTGCGCCATTGCACTCCAGCCTGGGTAACAAGAGTGAAACTCCGTCTCAAACAAAAACAAAAACAAAAACAAAACAAAACAAAAAAAACAAAAACATAAACCGGAATACACTAAAGAAAAACAATACCTGTGTCACGCCTGTAATCCCAGCCCTTTGGGAGGCTGAGGCGGGCAGATCATGAGGCCAGCAGATTGAGACCATTCTGACTAACGTGGAGAAACCCTGTCTCTACTAAAAATATAAAAATTAGCGGGGTATGGTGGTACGCACCTGTAGTTCCAGCTACTCAGGAGGCTGAGGCAGGAGAATTTCTTGAACCTGGGAGGCCGAGGTTGCAGTGAGCCAAGATCACACCACTGCCCTCCAGCCTGGGCAACAGAGCGACTCAGTCTCAGAAAAAAAAAGCAATACATGTGACAGTGATTAAAAATTTCTGCCTAGCAGGAACAATGTTGGAAACAGGCTTATAACGTCGGGAAAAACCCACACGGAGACAATGGATCACTCAGCAAGGCTAGTTTACTTCCTGCAGGAAGGGTGCAACTCACCGGCAGTCTTGCCACGAGCGCACACCTGAACAAGGAGACGGGGACATTTATAACTGCCATAACCTGATGCAATCGCCCTGCTGCTGTGTCCAGTTTCCATTGGCCAGAACAATGGGACCTCACATTGTATGTGTGACCCGATTGGCTAAAAACTTGGAAACTTTCTGAACAGGTAAAGGCAGAGGAGAACAAAGGAAAAGAGGAAGTCACTTGAGGAATGCTTAGAGAAGCGATAACATTTCCAAATAAGGAAGGGGAATAAGCTATGACCTAAGGCTTGCCTGGGCTTGTTCAGGCATGTCAGGGCAAATACCTAGGTTAAAGTGGAAAAACTAAGAATGTGGGAGGCACTTACATCTTTATGACGACTAACAGCTACTTTCGGATTATTAGCAAAAGCTTTCAAGTACATTAACCTTGGAAGAAACTATTTGTAATGAACCAAGAGGAAAGCTTTGAAGAGGAACCTTTTATTATTTCCTACAACAACAAAATAAAGTACAAAACAACATGGCAAAAACACAGATAAGTATGTGGAGAAACACCGACAAAGGACTTCTTTCCTGAATATCTAAACATTCATCTTTCACCAGCTTAGATTCTATGTTCCCAAAACTCCTTCATACACATGAGAGACTGTCTGCCCCGCTCTTCTGTATCATTTGCCAGGTGAAATGCCACATTTTGTGGAACGTACTTTGCTTTCTTATTTTCTAAACCTGAGAGAAAAATATCGATAGACAAAATAATAGTAAAAATAGGCTGACAATTTCCACTTTGAATTCCTGCCTGTAAACCTCAAAAGGCCAGATGTGCTCAACAATTCTATCAAGTTTCTCTAGTAACTTGATCCTGGATCCAAGCTGGCTGTTTCAGTCCATCAAACGTATGATGTCATTGCCTTATGCTTGGCTGAAAAAGTGACCTCAAACAGGAATTCTCAGAGGGGCCTTACCCAGCTGGCCCACGCTAAGCCCTTCCTGTGTTCCTGATCACTGCGCTGGGTTTCTTTCTATCATAGGAGTTCCTTCTGGGCTAGAATGTGTACCCCTTGCACCCAGCTCAGGCCCAAAGATTGAGTGGAATAAACGAACGCCAGAAGGGAGAAACGGCAGATTCTGGCAACGTCCAGACCACACCACTTACTAACTTGGGGCAAGTAACTTCTAGTCTCAGAGCCTGTTTCTTCACCAGGAACTTGGGGGAAACAAGAGTACTTACTTCTTCGTAAGGCCTAAAGGAGATAATGTCTGTTAATCACACATTGTCCTAGCTAGTCCACTGGGATCACTTTTTGGACCAACTGCCTTTCTTTTTTTTAGCTTTCCTTATTTACTAAATTCCCTTAAGTGTTACTCATATTATAATTCAAGTTTAAGACAGGATGTATCTTATCAAATATTTATGGCTAGTTCTCTTCTTCGTATAAATGAACCCATAAAAAAGCATCCCCTAATTCCTCTCTACTTTCTCTAACCTCCTTGGTTTTCTAAAATTGAAAAGTAATTCTGGTGTACTAAAACCAGAACCAAGTTTCCTCAGATCTTTCATTCCTCAATCAAGGCATACCACACACTGTTACCTGTACTTTCCAGTAAAGGACTCTGAGGGGCTGGTGTTTTTTGCTTAGTGTAACCATTACATTACACGTTTTTTAGGAAGCCAGGGGTGACAAGTATGTGCTTGTCACGCTGGCCTCCTAAAAAAATATCCAGAATTTATTATCTTGACCTTACGTGCCAAGTGGGGCTGGCAAGAGTTTGTCCTGGGACAAGATTGTAGGTGGTTAGGCGTCAATAAAACCCCAGCTTCGTGACTCCACATGACATTACACACCTTCAGCCCCACATTGCCAACTGCTGGGCACATTACCCTGAGCTTCTTGTAACAAAGGTGGTGATGTTCATTTTAAAAATATCAAGAAACCGATTAACAAAATTTAGAATATAATATTTACAAATCTATCTTTACAAAAGGATTAGCAATTTGAGGAGAAAAATGCACAATATACACATCTTACTCTTTTCCTTATATATTCAAAGACTTTTGTTACAAGGAATTACAAAGCTAATGAAACAGTTTTATTTCAAGCTTAGTTTTTCCTACTGTGGCATGAGCACCTGGATGCATTCATTCTTAGCTGGAAGCAAATGTAGGTGGGGGGTGCTTGTCACCCTGTTGAACAGTTGCCAAAGAAAGTGGAGATGTTGAAAAAAGGCAGTTGTAACTTGGAGCAAAAATCGACCTAATTATTTGTGATTATATGTCATGTTTTTTAAGGTGAGCCTCTCAAGCCAATTGTTTGATTTTTTAAAAAATAGAGCAAATTGTGTTATTCTTGCAACACTGTTGATCTCTTTAGTTGCAGACCAGTAGTAGTTCTTTCCCTCCTGCTTAAATCATGTGAATAAAAATGAAAGGACAAGACATCGACATTTGGTTTGTCCTTCAGTGCTTTTTATGATCTTTTCTCAAAGTAAAATAGTCTTAGGAAAGGTTTTAATTTTTTCCTCTTAAGAACACTATTCATGACACTTTTCACTAAATACGGACAATATCAGGAAGGAGGAATATTGACATTTCTGGAACCCGCTATGCCGGGTACTTTTCCTCTGTTACCTGCTTTAAAACTAACAGCAACCTTCTCATCACAGCCCAATGGGTTCATTTTGCCCGCTGCCCTGAAAAAGTACAACTACAGTGGGTGTTGCAGGGCAGCTGGGTGAGAAGAGGGAGAAATTTCTCAAACCCATCTCCCTTAGAATTAGGAGGCATAGGTGTGGGGAACTGAAACAATTAAGTCACTGGGGATGACGTCATGGGGCATCTAAAACTGTTTTCTTGCACCTGTGTTCCCAGGAGGGCGGGCAATGGTTTTAGGATTAGGTGGCATCTCTTGGTCTACTTTACCATTCTTTGGCAAAGTTCAAGCTTCTACCATGATTCTAAGCTTGACTTAGGAATACGACTTCAGTCTCTAAACGTGGAGGGGGGTCAGTTTTTCTGGCCTGAAAGTTTAGCTATAAACTGAATTACTATCACGGTTATCTTGGCCTTCTCACTAGAAGCAGCGAAAAAACCAGTTTAGCCTATGAGTTTGGAAGCAAGATGGAGTCGGTCTTGTTAGAGTTCGCTTATTACCTATAATTCTGCAAAGGCCGTTTCATTATAAGGTAGGTTTTAATACACCTCTCTTAGCACAGGCGAGGAACTGAGGCTCTGAGAAGTGTAACACTTCACCTGTGAGTCTGAGAAAGTAACTGAGCTGGGATTCCATCCAAGCATGTTTTCCTCTCTCAGTCTGTACAGTATAGCATGGTGACTAAGAGTATAGACTCGAGCGTGGCCGTGTTTGAATCCAGAGCTTCTGTTTACTAGAGATGTAACTTAGAGCTTGTGCATAATCTCTCGAAGCCTGTATTCCCTCCTGTTAAAAAAAAAGGCATCATTGTAATAATGCCTCCTATAGGTAGGTTCTTAGAATGCCTCTTTCTTGGCCAAGCAGGCTTGCTCTTAGTCCTGGACCAGTCTCAGTCCAGTCTCCTGGCCTTTGCCCACTCCTGGAGCACTCAAGAACTTTCCCCCACAGGCCTAAATCCCACCCACTTTCCAGAGAGTATTCCTTAACAGGTCCTGTTCATGGAAGCTTTTTCCCCATTCTTCCTCCTTTCTCAACTCAAACATTCCCTGAACGGTATGCAAGCAAGAAAGAAAATTGAAAACTTATAATTGACGACAGCAGCTTTGCCTCCTAGGAGAGACATAATTTCTTTTCGGAATAGTCTTTTATTTAGCAAGTCACATTGTGGCAGGCCAGTTCTCCCTGACGGTCACACAGACAGGCCTGCATGACAGTCGACAGGCAGGCCAGGATAGCACCCCAGTTACACGGAGCCACTTCCACACGGCATAGCACCCTGGTCACACGGAGCCACTTCCACAGAGCTGCCTTAACACTGAGCACATAGTGAGCCCTGGGGAACTCGGTGCCCAGGCATCAAGCTAGAAATGAAACATGGTCAGTAGGATCCTTGCACAGGCTTCTCCCTTGCTGGAGCAAACCAAAATAATGGAGCCAGCCTTACCTTCCTAGTGCCAGGGCCTACCTTGAATAGACAAAATCAGAGACTAGTCAAGGTAACAGAGGCAGCTGTTTGAATAGATTTGTTGGAGAGTCTAAGGCAGCTCTCTGGACCAAGCTGTAAAAGAGGTAAGAGAAAAATAATCACTCTGGTATCACAGTAGACAGGCCTTGAAGATACTGGGGCCCACACGGCTTAATCAGACTTAGCAAGCATTTTTTTTTTTTTGGGAGGGGGACTCTGAACTTCTAGTTGAAACAAAATTAGTTACCTATAGACTTAGGTGAATGCTATACTGCACATAGGCACATAACCCCAATCTATATAAGCACTAAGAAAATTGTAACACTTTTCATTGGTCTGGTGGAATTATCTCCAGCCTTCTCCCTGTATCCAGTTACAGCAATAAATTTCCTTCTCTCCTATATGATCTGGCTTGGTTCCAGGAACAACACTGACAGGTGTTAAATCCAGAGAAGATAGCCTCAAGTTAGACAACCAGGTTGCTCTGCATAATACAGCAAGAATGTTGGTGTTTCAAGGATTACCTACGTGAAGGGAGGAGGAGGGTGCGTTCTGTGAGGCAGAGAGGCCTCCAGAAAGATGTGAGTGGTACAGCTTTATTGGGGCGGTGGTAATACTGTAACAATCCCTCAGGGACTTATTCAAAACAAGACTTACTAATAGCCCACTTAGAGCTGTAGTCTGAATGTTAACCCCTCCCCCTCCCTAAACCCTCAAACTTAACCCCCAGGGTATCCCCAAAGGCTGTCACCTGCAGCCCTGTGGGGAAAGAATCAGAGTACTGCTCAGTGTAGGGCAGGGTGACGTGCATGGAACAGGAATAGGATCATCCATAAACCACACCAAATTGGTGGATGTTAGAGCTCAAAGTGAAGGGTGATGGGGAGAAGTGTGAAACCCCAGTGAAATCCTTGGAGAGACTGTGAAAGCTATGATGGGAGGGAGGGTCAAGCTAAATTAAGCCTAAAAAGATGGAGTACCCCGTCCAACATGTAGATACAGGGGGCAATCATCCCATCTGGTTCATTGTGAAATGCCCTGTGCCCCCTGTATCTATCTGTCAGACGGGGCATTCCACCCTTTCAGACTTAATTTAGCTTGACCCTCCCTCCTGTAATCCCAGCACTTTATGAGGCCAAGGCAGGTGGATCACAAGGTCAGGAGTTTGAGACCAGTCTGACCAACATGGTGAAACCCCATCTCTACTAAAAATACAAAAATTAGCCCGGTGTGA